AAATAAAAGCTCACAATTAATAGAAATTCATTTAACTTTTCTACTTTTCCAATATATTTCTCTAATCTTTTGCTAATGAGTAACCCTACACCTGAATCTTTAAATTTGTTCACATCTGCACTAGCCCAAATTCTTCGATAATTGTCTTTATCTTTCATTAAGAATTTTCCTGTATGCTCTTGTATATTAGTCTCTGTTAACCCAACCAAATCGAAACCTTCTTGTGTAGCCCATACTAACACCAGGTCTAACCGATAACTACATGACTTTAACCCATTAATATTATGTATCGCTATCTTTAGAACCCCATCATTTTCTTTTATTATACTCCTCCTCTGCATTAGAAGGGTCCAGGCATCCTCCTCCCATATTTCCTGAACCCTTTTTTCCATAAAAACGCCTGTAACAACTTTTAGGAGTGATTCTGCGCTCCTAGGCTACTCTGCCTTAGCTCTATCACATTGAGTCTTTGGAGAATTTGCTCAAGGATCATGTTTTGAATATTTTCTTTCTGTTCTGTACTGTGAACTTCTGTCTCTATTTGCATTTCTGTAGTCACTACTTTTCTTGTTGTAAACTTCACCTCACCATGACCTGAAGATTTCTTGGTATTACAAAAGTTATTTTCTTTACTTCTATTGTTTTCGAGTAGTGGTAAGCAGTGTTGTCATGGGACAGCTTTGGACAATACTTTGGACAATCTTGAACAATCTTGGACAATTAAATAAAGTAAAATTACTTAAAATTTTATTAAGATAACCTATTTTAATTTTAATTAAAATAAATTCAGCATCTAAAAAAATATATAGTTATATATTTTTTAAACAGATTTATTAATTATTAAAGCCTAAACAAGCTTTGGACAATCTTGGACACTTGAACAATTTTGGACATGGACAAGTCAAAAAAGGCTTTGGACAGCCAAAATGTACAACACTGGTGGTAAGGTTCTCTTTTTTAGACGAGGTGTATCAGCTATATCTTTAGGAGCGGTTGACTTGTTGGCTTTTGTTTTTCTCCTCTTATCTGTCAAACCACGTGTCTCGTTGCTTTCTCTTTTGCAGTTACGGTTCCCTTTTTTCATAGGCATCTTTTACTCCAATTTAGTGCTAAAATAATAAGGAATTGATTCTTGTATTTGTATCAAGTCTTCCTCAGTTTTAAAGTATACGTGTGCCCTTCTGCACTGATTACCATTACAATTACTTAGTATGTGTACTGCCTGCACCTTGAATCTTTTTAATTGTCTAAGAAGCAGGCTATCAAAGGCAGATGTTGGTACATTGAAGATTGTGCTTTTGAACTTGTTTCGTTCTTCTAATTCTTTAATATTGAATTTCTCAGGTGTTGTTCGATAAGTTTTACCCTGATCCAAATGTATAGACCAATTTTTTCTTAAGGACTTTCCTCTCTCCTCTATATTCGAAACAATCTTAATAAAAGCTGCTTTGGTAGTAAAATTATGTTGCTATGCTAGTATTGTTGCTTCCCCAAAATATCTAAGAAATTTCTTAATTCTTTCCCCACTCATATCTCTTGGGAGGTCCCACAAAGTAAAAAAATACAGTGATTCGTGTGTATACTTTTCTGATATGTATTCACCACTCAGAGCCCACATTGAGTTATAGATATCCTCTTGTTTTTTGGACTTTTTCTGTTTGCCTTCTACCCTTGTGGATCTTACTTTGTTGCTAGCTAGTACCTCTTCGAGACCATAGTCAAATGTACTGACCTCATTTTGAATAAGTGTGTTTACTCTTGTCTCTTGTTTATGCTCAACTAAGTTATTACTACTCTTCTGTTCTTTAAGGCTTCTTTTACGAGAGCTGCCATTGTTGTTGCAAGTTGTGTTATTATTATAATTTTCAGATATAATTACAGATTTTGTGAAACTAATTTCCATATCAGTGGGACTTGGATTAGGATTATTGTCTTCTTTCTGTGTTATCTCCATACTATTGCTTTGTCCTAGTAGAATTTTCTTCTTGTTAGATAGTATATCCTGCTTGAACTCCTTGTTTCGGGCCCAATTATACCTTTCAACAACCTCTTGTAAAGCTGCTATAAAAAGTACATCTTTACAACCTAAAAAGTCTGCAATATGACTGTCCTGTTCAACTAAGATTGCTTTTTGTTCCTTATATAATACTAGTTTCTCTTTATCAGTTTGGTTAAAGAAGTTTCTGTACTTCCAGAGTGCTAGCATTGCTTCTTTCACGTGATTTGTGTACTAGTATGTTGCTTAATATAACTCTTTAACTTTGGCTTAAGCTCCAATTAAGTCACGTGTTTTACGTGTTTTTAACATGTCTTTACGTGAAATATAGGTTGTTGATTTTGTATATCTTTGTGTGTCTTTGTGTAATAATCTTGTGTTATACCAAAGATCTACACTACAGGGTTAATACTATTTTCCCTAAAATTAAAGAAGCGAGCAACGTTTTTTAACAAACTAGAGTGCCTTTGTGTTTTAGCACTTCTATGTCAATAAATATTGTATTTGATATTCTATCTAGGCTTCTTCTAATGCTGAACTGACTTTTCTTGTTTATACAATCTTCTGTTAGATTTTGTCACGTTCAGCTTTTGAAATCACCCTCGCTGTGTTTTTGGAATTTTGCTCTTTTTTTACTTGCAAGTCGACTAGCTATTGTGAAACTATCTTGTGTCTATATCTTTTTTGTCACCTGCTAGTATTTAGCACTATTGTGTTGCCTTATAAATTGGAAAACAGACGCTTTTTCTTCTTACTACTTTTTGTGCCAAGTGATCATCGGGGAGAGTAACTGAAAACGGCTGCTTTTATTATATTTGCTAACCAGTTCCATTTTTTGTTTAGTATCTCCAAATTGTTGATAGTTTGATTTTTTTTGTTTTTAACTTTGTCTGCTATTTCAGTCTGAAACTGGCTCCATTTTTCTTGGTTCATTTTGCTGTAGCAGTAGTTTTTTTTTTCTTGTTTCGAGAAAAATGGGTTGTATTATTGATTCTAGTATACCAAGATGTATACAAGAAGAGATGATCACTATCAGTAATTTGATCAGTGTCCTTTAATTGAAGTTAAGTATTATATTATCTTGGACCTATATGTCATCAATTTGACTTTGCTTTTCGCCACATTTCCAAGTATATTGATTATTATTGTGAAACTCAAGTAAGCTTGAGAGTCTTAAGTGTTGCATAGTACTAAAAAGTTTTTTGCAAACTCTATTGCATTTGATATTATTGTTGAAGTCTCCCATAACTATAGTTTTATAGTGTTTGTTATATATAGTTGTTAGCCATTGGTTGATAGTTTCAATTGTTTTTACTGCTAACTCAGGTTTATGTACTAGTATGTATAGACCTATTATGTTTGGTTTGTGTTGTGGTAAGAAAATTTCTACTTTGATAGTAGTATCTTGTATTTTATTTACAGCATATATGTATTTGAATAAGTCAGAATAGAGAGCTATCGCCACTCTGAGGCTTGTCTTTTTTTCATTTATTTGCTCTGCTGAATAGTTAAAGCTAAGAACTTTGTAAAGTGAGTTAGATGTTGCTATCTCATTATTGTGTTTTAATTTGGTTTCAGTTAAGGCTGCTATATATATTTGTTTCTAATTTAGGTATTCTAGCACTTCTTGGAACTTTAGGTCATTGTTTAGGCCTTGTACATTGTGAGTTAAGAAATTTAGCTATCCAAGATTATTCATTATAAAAGGTGCAGATTTATTGTTATTAATTATTGGTAATTTGTTTTGTATATCATTGTTTTTGTACGGCTTGTTAGAGTCGTTTTGTATTGATGTTTGTTTATTGATCATGTTCCAACTCTTGGTTGTTTTGGCATAGCATACTTTTACTAAAAAGCTCCTATTTGGGGCTGGAGCATAGATGGCTTTAATTCTGATTGGTCAATCATTAAATGTATCGTTACATATACATTGCATATATCATCTGACTTTAAACGAAT